GAGTAGTCACCGCTCCAAGCTCACTCCTGTGTTGGACTACAATCTCATGTTTAGTTTACTAATTTGTATTGAGATTGTAGTCCATCACAGGAGTGAGCTTGGAGCGGTGACTACTTTACAACACACACAGGGACCATGGGGAACAGAAGTAGCCCCTCTCCAGAAGGAAGGACAGCGTCGGCACTAATTCAGAGATGATTGGAGGATCTACAGCCGAGTGATACACAAATAAGATACATTGTTAATAGTTGAGCTGAGTTTTAAGATTTAACTCCTGAGTTTAGTGTCACTTTCACTCATCTTTTATGCCGCCAGATAAATCAATGAAGCCACTTTAACTCATGTTAACAGTTTAGTTTTGGTAAATAAATAATACATCAAACTTTTGGTGACTTCAAACAATCTTTTATTGGAGAAATATGTTGGCCGCCATTGCTGATCTCTCCTTGTTGGTTATCTGGATGGCACTTTGACCCTTTGGGTTCTGTACTTTGAGTCAGTGACCTAGTATGCAGATAAGGACTTCTGACATTCCTGATCTGATTGCGTGTTCTAGGACAGAATTAGAAATGTATGTTAAGCCAAACGTTTTAGACGGGGAAGGGTTAAAACTCCAGTTTTTTATTTTTTTCTACTATCCAGGACTGTGGTAAAGAGAGTTTCCCTCACTTTCTGTTGCAGTGATGACGGTTTTGCCAGACTGGAAGTGAGAGAAAATCTGCAGAGGGGACACCAGCAGAAATAAAAATCTGACCAGGGTTCCCATTCTCTTACTACACTACTTTACTAACCCTTCCCTGCTCTAAAAAAACAAAAAAAAAACACCGACCAACTTTTGGCTTAACATTCAGGGTTATTCACAAAAGGGTTTTTCACCCTAATAATAAAAATAATAATAATGGCAAGAAATATAAAGCTACAGTAATGATTATAATTTTTTTATTTTTTTTTACCATTATATTTAATACCCATTACCAAAGGATAATGCCCATTAACATTTACCTCCAAATATAAGCTCAGTTTGTGCTGGAAAAAAAACAAGAAATATAGGTGAAACTCGAATAATTAGAATATTGTGCAAAGTTAATTTATTTCACTAATGCAACTTAAAAGGTGAAACTAATATATGAGATAGACTCATTACATGCAAAGCAAGATAGTTCAAGCCGTGATTTGTCATAATTGTGATGATTATGGCTTACAGCTCATGAAAACCCCAAGAACCCCAAATCAACGACCTCAAAAAATGAGATTATTACATGCAATCAATAAAACAAGGATTGTACATAGAACAATATCGGACCTCTGAAAAGTACAAGCATGCATATGTACTCAGTACTTGGTTTGGGCCCCTTTTGCAGCACTTACTGCAATTACTTTTGCACGATATTCTAATTATTTGAGTTTCACCTGTAATTCCCTGGATATACCAAGTAGTTCCGGAGATATGGACAGTTTTACTAACACATGCCAAAGGTGCAAAGCTGGGATCAGGCATTAAAGTGATATTAAAGTCAAAAGGTTTTCAAGCCATTTTAAATGCTAATTAAATCGCTTACAATGGATGCTACTCCTTGTTTCCTGCAGGACCAGCTGGTCCCCTGAACTCTAGCCCTGATTGATATCCTGTTTTAGGGTTGCTCCTTCCTCTTGCAAGGTCCTATGGATCCACCCTTGTGTGTGCTAGTAAGCTGCGTGTGTCTCCACAAAGGGACAGCAATGCAATCTGCTCCCTACTCCTACCTTCTTCCTTTTCCCAGCTAGTAGATGGACAGCTGTTGGAGGCTGTGCTGTTCCTTGTGAGTGATCTTATTCAGCACAGGAAGTTTAGGGAAGCTAGGCTAAGGGAGTTGGAGCTGTTCAGAAACATGATGACTGGAAGTATTTGGGCAAAAATGTAACGAAATCCTTTGCTGGGCGATGTATTTCTGTTTGATCTGGATTCTTTACTGAACCAAAAAGTGAGTTTAATATTACTTCAAGGTATGTTTTAATTTCCTCATTAGGGGTTAAAGAGTGATAATATAT